TCACCTCTAGAATGTAAAAGGCACGATGAGAAGTCACATGAATATGGGCGCCACAGCATCAGAATGACACCAGACCTCGCCAGCCTTCAGCCTCTTGTCTCAAGCACGTCACAACAGACGCATTCAGTCAAAGTCAAGTCCCGTCTTTCTCAAATGTCAAAAGTCGGGATAAGAGCGCACTGCAATCTGAGAGGAGACAAAACAACCAGTGAAACAAACAGAACCGCTCACAAGAACTCCACGTGGTGGCGTCGATAAGACAAGCTCAAGTGCGGTGAGCAGAGTCCAACTCAGACTAAACCAACACTCGCTGAACGGCCCCGGGTCAGACAATGGTTTGTGTCAGTATAACGAGCGCCTGTCGCGGCTGGGAGGACGCGCGCGGTCCGGTCGCCGGGTGGCCTTGAGAACGGGAGGGGGTGGGGCGCCCGCAGCACCAGCCATCGAGACTGAAATCCGCCCATCTCGGGGTGAAAGGTGCGCCGAGATTTACCACCTGGAAGAATAACAGGACTCGAAAACCATAGGCACGGGCATGGGCATGGGTCACAGCGACGAACCTAAAAAGCTGAGGCGAAAAAATCACGTTGATGTGGCTATGCACAGCCAAGGGTTTTAAATAAATGCCAGACTACCACATTCTTTGAGCCATGGCAATGGTAGTCCATCCAATCGGTTTGCCTCTGCCTGTTTCAAAAGTCAGCAGTTTAAGAAGCCGCTCCTTCCTTTACCAGCCTGAAATTCGACATCTGCCCAAATTCCAACGACGAATACCTCAGTTGAAGACCCGAGCATCTCGCAGGAGAAAGGGGGCGTTTCCATTTTCAGTCTTACAGGCCAAGAGCTCATTTCTTTCGGCTTACGAACTTTATTTCGGCTTATTCTGTAGGCACCTGGAAATCGCATCTGAACTCGTCCCCGAGGTCTACTCAGCCCAAGCACCGGTAAGTAGTGGAGAGTGTAGGCAGCAAGAGCCTGCAGACGTGAGCGAGGACCCTCGACCCGCCCCGCCCCCTAGCGGGCACCTCAGGCCCAGCACCCCGACCTACCTGTAGATTGGACAGCTCCCGTCTGATTCACTGGGTAACAGCTCGCTCTGAAGCAGCACACTCCTTCACCGGTATCCTCGTGTCAGACGCTCTGCACGGACACCCCGTATCGTGCCTCGCGATGAGCCGATGTCTACTGACGCCCGGCCGGCGCGCCGGCACCGGCGGCGGCCGTGACGGCCTGTGACGTCATCGGTGACGTAGCGGCCGGGCGGCGGCGGGCTCCGGAATGCGGTGGGCGTGCCAGCGCGAGCGACGCCGGCGAGAGGCGAGAGGAGAGCACGGGCCGACGCTGACGGGCCAACGCTGCCGTGCGGAGAGCAAACTCGGCTGCTGCTCTGAACTCAAATTTAGCTGCTGCGGCCCCTGCTCAATGCTCAAACTCAGCTGTTGTAGCAGCACGGGCTCAAACTGAGCTCTGCTGCTCAAGGCTGTAGCTTGGTCAGCCACCACTGAGGCTCAAAGTTCAGCAGCTGACAGCTTTCGCCGCTCAGAGCTCAGACTGAGCTATCAGTTCAGTACATCCGGTGGAAGGATCAGTCACGCAAGTCCCCAGTGCGCCGATCTCTGCCCTCTGTAGGCAGAAGTTCACAGCCATGAGGACAGCAGCGAGATAAGACAAGGCTGAGGATTGAGGAGAGGAACGTGGTGAAACTACCCGGCCTTGCCTGTAGAGGACGGGGCTCGGCCAACCACTCTGGTTATGCGTGTCTGACGCAAGACGTTTATAAATATCATGTCAAGCCTGTGAGGTAATACTTCAGCTGTTTATCAGTAGTTCATCTAGAAACTAAGCAACACCGATATATTGTCGGTGCTCTAACTGTAATCTTCTGTTATCTGTTTGACTTCAAGCTTCAGACGAGCTCAAAACTAGGCCTCGTTCTTCTCAAGACACATCACAACCCGCCGACACGAGACATGAACAGAAATCTCTTCATCTATCGTCAGGTTTCGCTATATGGCTCCCAATTCTTTTCAAATATAATTCCAGCAGTTCGGGACGGCCGATCAAAAGCCGTCACTGTCCAAGATCACAGACACAGGTGGTCGGTCCCCAACACTGACAGGAAGTGGGTGCTGGCGGGAGCGCTGTAAACGTGAGGGGGAAGGCGAGAGAGGCAGACCGGAAATGACAGGTGCGGCGCGACACGTCTCCCCCAGCCGAATTCCTCCTCAGAGGGCGGGCTGGGTGAGTCACCTGTTAGATAAGTTAAAGGTTATGTGAGTCATACGTTTGGTGGGTTAAGAGCTAGGTGAGTTATCTGTTGGTGTGTTAGAGAAGACATGAGTCACCTGTTTGGTAGCCAACCGAAAGTTTGGATTCATTAGTAGGTACGGTTTTCAGTGTAAACAACACACTCAACACGGGGTATTTGGAGTGGACGCCTACGGCCTACGTAATAAGCATCCTGACAATGCAATGTTTAATGGGATGGCTGGATGGAAAACTGTTTGAAGCAGTTTCCAGTGCAGTATTCTTTGTTGAGTAAACGAGATGATAAATATGACACCCGATGACACATAGCCAAAACAAAAATATTTGGTTTGCTCGGTTTCATGTTATGTAAACATTACTTCAACACAATAATTCGAGCCCAATGTCCCAGTAACCACTTAGTACCGATAAACCTTGCCTTTATCATAAACAAACCAAGAACCGGGCATCGACTGAACAAGGCTGACCGCAGTGACCAATAAAAGATGAGTGCTATCAACAAAGACTGAGATGACACACCGAGAGGTGACGGCTTCAGTCCTGCTGGGGGCCAGTGACGATCGAATTGGAGTGAAGGCTGTCTGTATGACGCCCCACACATCACCGCTGCCTGATCGCCGCTGAACGCCTAGCTCTTCGGTCCAGTGTGGTGCCAATCGAACTGGACTGAGAATTGAGGAGACAGAAGCCCTGGACTGAATTCTGGCTCCACAGTCCGATCTGGGGCCGATATAGGCACCCTGACTGGACTGGACTGACGTCTGGCTGGCCGGCTGGTTGGCTGACAGCACCATGCACTAAAAGCTGGCTCTTCTCTCTGCCATGGTCCGTTGACCTTGGTGTGCTGCCGCCCTGTGGCCTCTGGCGGCCCTCCGGCGAGGACAGGTCAGCGGCGAGGCACCGGTGGGTGCGGAGTTGGCACCCGTCGCCCGCTCTCAGGTTACCGTGCCGTCGCGTCGGAGGCGATGGAGGCTCCACACTGCGACGTCGTCGGTCGGCACTCGCCACAAATGGAACGGATCCTGTGCAAGGTGAATTGTGAATCAGTTCCGGGTCTGTGGATCGACTCCACAGAAATAACTCACGGAAAAGATGCAGCTTCACCAGTTAAATGTTTATACCGCGTCCACGCCGCTCCCCAATGCCGCAGCTCTTTGGTCGACACTGCTTTATTGCAGAATCGGATTGCAAATTGCGATGATTGAAGTAAATTGACACTCCTCGACGGTTTGGCTATAACATGTCAATTGTCGATAAATAAAATGGATGGAAATGGGATCCAACGGGACGACCCTGTGCTGACATATGACTCTATGGTGACAAATACGCAGCCGCGTCCGCAATGCTCAATGCTCAATGCCAGTGATCCAAATCCCCAACCACTTTGGTCTCTGCTGAGTACAGACCTCGCACTTCTCAAGGCCTAATGGACAGCTGTCAGAACGAAGGCCTTCTCCGAAATGTCGGATAAATGGGAACGCAGAGCGTCATCATTCACCTAATTCTGACTCATTTCACACACGGTGCAAAGCTAACATCCCCCTCACTTCCAGGAAGTGGGCTCAGCGCCTCTCCTCAGCGCCAGAGTCAGTCACGGCCCTGGCCAGTCGCCCCGGCCTCGGTCTGGGACTGTCGGAGCAGTGCCAGCACCCGTGTCACCTCAGCCAACGTAAACGGAATAACCGAGCTGCCGCCAGTCGGGTGGGAGGCTAGTGGCTCAGTCAACAGGTAGATTATTACTCAGCCAGCTAGCAGCTACCCACTCAGTCAACAGGTAGATAATTACTCAGTCAAAGGGTAATTGTCCAAAGGCCATGAGCCAAAAGGCAGATAGAAGCTTTCCAGTGCCCATTCAGCCAATAGGTATCCACTCAGCCAACAGGTAGCTGTTGGCTGAGTAGCTGAGTGACTGAGTGACTTACCTATAGGCTGTAGCTCAGTCAACAGGTAGCTACCCACCCAGCCAAACAGGAAGGTAACCACCAGGAGCTACCCACTCAGCCAGCAGGTAGCTTACTAGCTACACTCACTCACTCACCCACTCAGCTAATGCATCCGGAACGATGAGATTACACTGGGGGTGGGCCAGGCTACGCTGGCATTTTGCAATGTAATGGAGTCATGGCTGACGCCAACGGCGGAGCAGCGATGAAGTGGTGGCATAACCCTGCTAACTTCGGTCGGTCAGAGGTCCTCGCCTGCAGGTAGCAAAGCTATAAATGGAGCACAAGTACTGCAATATTGAAATGGTTTCTGATGTCACCGGTTCCGTTTTAGAACTCGGTTATGTGAGACTGGCTGAGAGCTCTGGATGACTTTGGTAATTTTTTTTTTCTAAAAAAATAGCCCAAACAGGCGCACAATTTTCACTTGATCCGATGAACGTATCAGTCTCCAATAGACTACTTACTCCATGATCTGGACTCCAACAGACGGCAATTCAAGTTTAATAAATAATATCAGTCGCAAATGGAGCATATCGAACTTAGCCGACAGGCTACCAAGGAAATGAATCCAATAATCCAACAGTGTCATCAATGAATCCAATCAGGATTGTAGGGGCAGAGCGGTTTGCAGTAGTAAGAAGTACTTTGCAGGTTCAATAGTACTAATTCGGTCCCACCCTATTGTCTCCCAGCCCACCATTCCATTAAAATCACCTAAACCAGTCCCCACCCCACCTCCCTCCCACCCCCCACCTCCATCCCCTGGCGGCAGTGCCGGCGACTGACCTCTCAGTGCTCTGGTCCGGTCGGCGGTACGGGTCACCCATGTCGGCCGCTGACCGCCGTCACCGCTCAGGTCACCTCGGCTCGGCTCTCAGCCCTGTCCGCGGACACTGCCGACAGACCGGCGGAGGAGCGGCGCGGCGCGACACGGGCGGCTCGGCTGCCAGCACAGAAATAGACGCCCCGCCACCACCGGCACCACACTCGGCCGTCAGACACCAGCGCCGTGTCATCTCCAGCTGGGCCACATCAGAGACACTCTGGTACTCCAGAGGGTGTCTGACACTCATCACTCCGCTAATCCATTGTATGAGAATAACTCATAATAGTCTCACGATGACAGCATTATGTGGCATATTTGATCCTCCAAACAGTATCAGATTCACTTTCAGACACCTACACTGGTCAGAAAAGCTCCCCGGACCAACATACACAAAAATAGCAGACACGATGAGCATATATTTGTCAATATATCTAACCATGAACAAGCCGACATGGAGCTGACACTCCCTCCCTCCCCAAAGCACCCCGAAGTTACTTTGAGCGACGGCCCCGAGCGCTGCCCGCCCTCTTGGCCTTGTGCTTTCCTCTCCGGTCGATCTTCCCTGAGCCCTGGCGGCGCCTTTTCCCAGAGCCACTCTCCTCCCATTGCAGTTGGTGACGGTCTGGGGAAGACACGGGTCAGGTCAGGTCACGTAACGGAGAGACCACGGGTCAGGTCAGTCACACGAGAGATAAACTATGAGAAAGGTCAAGTCAGGTGGGGCATACCAACGAACCGGGAGTGGCTGTGCGGCCTAGATAAATGTTTTCACTTATTTGTATACAAAGTGCAGTCACAGATATGATAACTTGTTTCCTTTCACAGACGCATGCGGACAAGGAAGGCAGTGACTTATGGCTGAGTGACCCGGCAGGACCAAGTACGCTGATGAGAACAGCGGCCGATTTCATAAAGGTTTGGTAGTAATTTACACCTAGGTGCATTTCTCACCCCTCAAAACTACAACCACACTGAGGGAGCGGTTTCATAAAGCTCGGAGGGCATAAATTTCGGCAGTTGTAGTTTTCTGCTTGCTTTGATTGCATTTTACTACCAACAGAACTTTAATAAATATTTTAATTCTGTGAATCATCAAAGTATTAATATAAAATGACTTAATTGTTTTAATTCATCAATAATAAAATTAAACATGATGTTTAAAACAATAATCAATAGGTAATCAGACAAAAAATTATTTGCTATTCTTGCATTAGGAATTGTAAACAAAAACAATCGTCCAAGGCCATAAAGAAACTACTGCATTCATTTCGGCCGGCTGGATTAGGTTCAGGATATTGATATGTAAAACCCTTTTGTACACAGATTGCTTGGGTGTTCATTTGTTTCTGATATATATGTTTCAGTGTTTGATTTATGTTTTGATGTGTCCAAACGGTGAGAGCGTCGCAGTGAAACAATAAGCTGCCCAAGGTTTGGCCTTGGCTGAGTTTCAGTTTGGTTAGAAGGCATAGCGCCTCTCCTTAGTTCAAGAATCAAGTTGCAAAAACGAGTGCGACGCGACGACTGCTAGTGGCTGCTGACTACTGAAATGTGAGTACCTGTTACATCACTTGCCTCACACAGCTTTTGCTAATTGATGATGTGGGTACTGGGTAATCCACAGCAACTGGTGTCAGTGTTCATGTGTTACTGTTACGACATAGTTGATGCAGCAATGCAAAGTATCTATGTACCATGAATTAACAACTCAATCTTCTGCCAAGGTCAGGGTGGCAACATGAATGGTTTTGAGTATAGGATGATGAAACTATTTTAGGCTATGTCTATACAAAAGTGGACTAAAAAGTGTTTGTCATTCTGATTCCATAAAAGCATTTGCAATGACTCATTGGTAATTTGAATTGCTGTGTCTTCTGTTAAAATCCCCATGAATATTTCTATTGACAAAGTACACTGTACAGGTATTTTGCTTGTAGGAAGTACGGATACTGCTCAGGTGCTGTCACCCGTTTGTGCAAAAAGGCTGCAGACTTGTCAGTTCTTGAGATATTTACACAAAATTTGCTTAGAAAAGTCATCAAATAGTCTAACAGAACAAAACATGCCTTATCTAATCTAACCTGACCCGACTTTACCTAATGGCTTATAACCTACAACCTACCACCTACCAACCTACCACCCAGCAACCTACAAACCTACAACCTACTGCAACTTTTGGTGAAATTTGTATAAATATCTTCAGAACTGGCGAGTGGTGACTTCACAAACAGGTGGCAGACCCGGAGCCACTTGCTAAGCTATAAGATTACCAACAGCCAAAGTAAGGTTGTTATTAATATCCTTAATCCTATTTTCCAGCTGCTGAAAGGAAGACTGGAGGGCCTTTAGCAGCATTAGCAGTGGAACTTGGAAGGCTGCCTTGAGGCTGCCTGGCTGGCCTCTACAACAGAGACGAAGTTTAGAAGTAATTTGTCAACAATGTTGTCCATGCTGCAAGAGGTGAGACCATGTACCTATACTTTATTACCTAGGGTAGGTATGGTAGGCAGTTTCCCATAATTTGTTGATATGGGAGGGAACATGCAAACATTTAAATAAAATCTTTTTGCACTAATCTCTGGCTTTTGAGAGCAAGTTTCCACTTCCAATTTTACCAAGGAAAACATTTGCATGTCTAGTCATTAGTTGTATGGCTGTATTACAGTGATGTATTGGGGAAGAAGTTAACAAAACGTGATAGCATTGTTAGTGCATTCAAAGATCTAGTACCGTTTGTCATTAGATTGTAGGTTGGTACATTTGTTGACATGAAGCTAACAAAGTAAACAGGCTGGCATTTTAAACAGACTGTAACAGTCTTACTGCCATAATTGATTACAGGCACCGGTTGTTTTCAGTCAAACTCAAGTTTTGAGGCAAACATTTCACATTTTTTTTTTGTGTTTCAGTTGTGCTAATTGTGTTCCAGCTTATAAGGTCTTCAGAATGCAGTTAAATGTAATGCATGTAATGCACGCATGTTGCAGGTGGCTGACGAGCACCAACCAGCGTGTGCAGCAGCCGTTCCGTTGTAAACGGTGCGCTGACCGCGGAGCCGGGGGTTGTCGACCGCCGGCTGGCACTCACCACCGTCCACCCCAAGCTGGCCATCATCGACTGGCTCGAGAACACCAGCACGCTGAGCCAGTTCATCAGCTCGACGTGCCCCGACTTCGAGCAGCAGTGCGCTGAGACGCGCGAGCTGTTCACTGGGAGCAGATGAAGCGACATGGGACTCAGAGCGGCGCCACTGACGTGCAGCTGCAGCTGATCGGAATCGACAGGACACGTGTTCGCGGCTCGGCCACCACTCATCAGCCTGCTGCTCCTGCCGTTCCGTCTGACGGCGCCGATGACCGGGCTGGCGGCGTCTCTCGACGCGTCCGGCCACACCCGGCTGCAGGCGCTGCGCTCGTCGCTTTGGGTTGTAAATGCCGGCGAGCAGTGAGGGTTGCCTCGCTGAGTCGTGTGGGCGCTCCTCACTGTAGAGGTCGCTGTGAGCGCTGTGCTCTTCTTCGACCAGAGGATAGGTGGCGGTAGCGGTCGGTACGCAGCCAGCAGCGTACTGACACGTCATAGACCGATTGAAGGTCTTCAGTGCGTTATGAATATGGCGCGGGTAGCTCGATTCCGGCGGCGGCGTGACACGGTGACCCCTTGACCTCTAGCCGTGTCGGTCCGTGTGCGCGGCCCATTCGCCCCCGACTTGGGTTGTCGATGGCGGCTGCCGGCGCCCTTAACCCTATTAGTGGCAGGCTCCTGGTATACCCCTATTAGTGGCAGGGGGGGGCTGTTTACGACCCCCCCCCCCCCTTGATATCTCGAGATCTAACGGGCCGATTTTCAAAATTCAAACGGCATTCGATTTCGCTCAACGTGATCTACATTTCTAAAAAATAAAAATTAAAAAATGTCAACAGGGGGGGTAGAGGGGGGTAAAAACGGGCAAATTGCAGATACATTTTAGACTGTTTATCACGGCCAGGTTTCTGAACCAATCCTAACGCAACTTTTGCCGATCGATAGAGAATGAACCAGGAATTCACATGGATCCTAAAAATATGCATTTTCAAAAATCATAGGCGGATACAGATCATTGAGATTGGGGGTACACAAAAAGTATAGTAAATAAGGTTTTTGTTGGTACTGCTTCTAAAAAGGGTGGTAATGGTCTTGTTATGTTACAATTTTCTTATGAGAGAACGACTACAATTGTATTGGTCATGCATAGGCGGTGTCAGGGCACCTATGTTGGGAGGTAAAACATAACCCCCCTTTTTGGACGCCTGGATCCGCCTATTATAGCAAAAACGTGTCAAAAGAGGATGCACAATAACTGTATATGTTATCACATGATACCTTTCATTCACTGTTCGTAAAACTGGTGCAGCATCGTGATCTTCGCCCAAATGACTCGCTTCACGAATAGGACCCCCAATTCCCAGTGCTCTGGAGCCGCCCCTGATAAAGTTATGAACTTGAAATTTTTAGGGAATAAGCCCAATTTAGTTTTAGGAAAAGTCAGAAAATTTCAGCATCGTAGCTTCAGCGGTTTCGGAGATATTCCCGAAAAACCTGAGGGGTGGATAAAAACAACCCCCCCCTGCCACTAATAGGGTTAAAATCGTAGGGTAGACCGGGGCAAGTCGCCCCGCCGAGGTAAAACGCCTCACCGATGTTTCTCGGAACTGGCAGGGTTCTGGGGAAACATCATCTCTTCTATAAAACGTGCACTATATGATCATTATATGAGCAGACTGGAAAGAAATTGTGATGACTCTTTCGGGAGATATAGCCAAAAATGTGTTTTTTGAGTGATTTTTATGTTTTGTTGTCAGATTATGAATCATGGCGTTCTTTTATGGTCCACATTAGGTTAACGACTTTTATGTATTTTGAACAACTATTGTCTAACGCTTATCATGCCGGGTTGGTTCGTGTTAAATTATGTCTTACTGGAGTGCAAGGCGTTGTTCTCTGACCAAACTACGTGATGGGGTAAAACGCCCCAGTAGGTCGCGGGGCAAAAAGCCCCTGGGGCGTTTTACCTCTTGTGTTGTTGGGGCTACCCACTTTCTAATGTTCGGTAGCTGGCGAACAGTAAGTTTCTGTGCCTTTATGTGTATTTTTCTCAGCAACTGGATGGAAAAGGAAGTATTTTGTTAACATTTGCATTGCAATAATTTATTATTTGGTCTTATGAGGTAGGTGAAAAACCTGCTCATACAACAGTGTCATATGCTGAGCACCTGACAGGATGGAATGTGCTAACTTCAGTGCCGTGCCTCCAGAGGTCTAACGGACCTCTCACAAAAGATTTAGCCAACTACCATGTTAAATCTTTAATCTAAGGTATGGGGCTACTTGCCCCAGGCCGTGGGGCGTTTTGCCCTGGGGTTGGGGCAAAATGCCCCATTTGCAGTTGCTTCACAAATCACTTCCTAGCTTGGAGTCCGATCATAAGTGAATCAATTTGAGGGGTGCAATTTAAAGTAAAATGTCCAAAGAACGCATTGAGCACAAATTTGGCCTTTCAGGTGATGTGGGACAAAATTTATGTAGCAAAATAAATTATCTGGGGCGTCTTGCCCCAGGCTACCCTACGTGTTTTAGACAAAAAGGGAAGTGATAGTGATGTTAAAAGGTATAATTTATTTTTCTAATGATTTTATTGCGTGCCTTGGCTGAGTGTCTTGATTTAACCTTGTTTGCTTTCAAATTTACGATAATACAACAGCACAGGGTCAAAAGGCGGTTAACCCGGCAGTTGCTGGGGTATTTCGCCACCCACCGTTTGCTGGGGGGGGGGGGGCGTTAAACGCCCCCAGCCGATAACTCGAGAACCAATAGGCGCAGCGAAACGCACGAGGCGGCAAACGAAAGAGCGCGACGCGACGCTTCAGATGAGTACTTTAAAGTTGAATTTTGAGGTCACAGGTCGGGTCAAGGTCAGGTCAAACACCTGAAATCGGGCTTTCAGTAGCATGGACTTCAGGGCTTCGCAATGGGCGCCTCTCGTCATAAACGTTGTCAAAACGGTGCACAATCCATCATATAAGGCCTACAAGAGTGTCGGCTCCATGTAGGGGTCAGTCAAGCATAGGTCAGGGTCAAGGTCAGGTCAACCGGGTAGGCACATATCCCCGAAAATCAAAACTGAAATTCGCAGCCTGCGACACATGTTTTATGGGTAATTTGGGGCGTAGAACACGATGGTGACATTCATTTTATCATATGTGTACGTGTTTGGCTCAAAAAGTTCAATTTAAGAAATGTATGTATCATGGTCGTGAAGTAGTCGCGAGAAATTGCCAAGATTCAGTTCAAGATTTTGGAAAATGCAGAACGATAATCAATAATCAAAGATAGCCATCTGATTGTCCATGGTATTGGCAGTCTACTGGCGTTTACTGCATGTCTGTATGTCTATTCTGTGATTTTATATGATTTTTTGAACATATGCCGTTTTTGGTCGAAAACTCAGAAATCAGGACGTCACTAAAACCTCGATATCTCAAAAAATTTCCGACCGATTTTTTTTGAAACTTTGTCACAATAAACTTCAATCAATTCCCTACAGGTACCCAAATTTTGGCGCGCCTGCGGCGCGCCGTTTTTATGCTATGGCCCGGCGAAAAAAGTGGGGGCGTTTAACGCCCCCCCCCCCCAGCAACTCGCGGGTTAAGACGTAGAACAGTAGCTGTTCATTGGGCTTTGTACGCGAGCCGGCCGACCGAGTGATTACTGCGCGCGCGCGCGCCGTATAAGAGATACTGATTCGGAGATACTGATTTCCAAGATCGTCGAGCGCCAAGTTCTGCGATGGCAATATCTCCTGAATATAGTTAACACTGAACACAGCGGCAGATGACAACGCCTTGACAATTGTTTTCGTCGTAATACGTGCTACTCAAAGAATGCCACGAAGTTGTGTCGTTGCTTTATTTGCTAGTCCGCACATCTGAGATCGTTTGAGACAAGTGTTTGAAGTTTAACCGGAATCGCTCTGATAGCTGCGATGCAAATTCCAACAGCTGTTATTCTACTAATGAAAAGGTAATTATGCTATTGCTGGCCATGAATTATGAATAAATCACAAATTTTGTAAAAGCAAGGATTGTTTCCGACCGGACCAAAGCACACATTTTCAGAAATTTTGGCGGGTGGGGTAGGAAAGGGACGCAGCCGGCCGCTGACTGCACGTTCAGGTGCGTCGTGGCGTCGCTGATGAAGTACACCGTGCATATGTTTATCACCAAAAAATTCATGCATTGTGATATAAAATAAACAATGAAACAATTCCAAACGTAACCACCCAGACAGACGCCGATCCGCCCCCAACATGGCAACACGCTAATAATTTCCTCGAAACTCGCTGAAGACGACTCGCCCACCATTTTGAGCAATATATGCCCCGCTGCGGAGGCGAATCGTTCACTCGCCCAGTCGGGGACGCAGCCGGCCCCATCACACAGTGTCAGACACTGAAACGGTTTAATATAGGCGGTTTTGCACAGTCTGGTCCAACTATTATGGGACGCGCTTGCCGCGGGCGCCGCAGTGCTGGCACACGTGCAGCGGAGCCGCGTGTCCGTCCACGTACTCGCTGGCGCCGATCTGCTCGATCAGCGACAGTATCCGCTGGGCGGCCTGCTAGCGCGCCACCTCGGCCAGGGCGAGCGGACCGCTCAGCTCGGTCGGGGTGGCAGCTTCTCGTGCTCGGCAGAGTCCACAGCGCCGCCGCCCATGAACTGCTGCAGCCGTGCGCGCAGCTCCTTCTGCTCTCTAATGACGTCCTCATGGGCGGCCGCGGTCCCGGTGACTGGATGCGGCTGGAGAGGTTCAGAGATGCGCGCGGAGGCCACTCCAGCGCTCCGGGTTCCAACACGGAACCGGCAGCGGACGGCACGGCCGTGGTGTGATGAGCCAGGACGGCTTCTCCTGATATGCCCTCTGCACCAGCTGGCTGGTCACAGCTGGCGCGCTCTGTGGGACACGGACACCGTGTTACAGTTAGACGATCCACTAACGTGTTATCATGGGACAAAAAGGGAGGTGTAAGATGCAATGCTCTCTGGCGTGCTCTATTGGAAGAGCGGGAAAAGTGTAAGATGCTGCTATGGGACATGGAAGCAGGTGTAAGAGAAGAAAATCTGCCCGAGCTACCACATGCAGATTTTCTTCTCAAGATGCAGGGCTGGAAAATGATCAAAATCACTTCATATCATATTAACAGTTGGCCACATGTGAGACACCTGTTACAGTGACAGCGGAAGTTGGTGAGGCAAAAAGATGTCAAACCTACAATATCTGACTGTTACCTACATAGAAAAAAGCTACACTATCCATTTTTTCAATACCTACAAAATAATGATAGGAATACAATGACACTTAGAAGCTGCTCATTGCAAATGACGTTGATTTGAAAAGCAACAATGACCTACCTACCTCCAACTTACTAACCTACAACAAACTATCAACCTACAACCCATTCAGACAAACCTTTTGTATACTAATACCAGAAGCATCTTTGGGTATAGCAACTCACCTTGGTTGGAAGACCTTCAATTGATGTAGGTATGCACTCGCAATACTGACAACTTTGACTTGAGACCAGTGAACCTGTTGACGATGACGGGCGAAAGGATTAATATAGGTACATATGTAGTTGTAGCTGACAATTGACATATCAATATTACACATCACTTGTGGCAAAAAGCATTATCACACTCATTTTATATGTTACCATGTTGGAGAAAGAACACTCAAGTGGTTCCCTGCAAACTGTCAATCTCAAATCTTGTCAACTCCTACAACAGCAAATATTTTGATTTGCCAACAATACATTTTTACGGTCTACAAACAAAGTATTACTTACTGCCTTGTGCCTTCAAAGCTCCTGATTCTTGGTCAAATAGTTATTTCAAAATAAGTAGGTAGAAAATTCGACACAGCAAATATTTTGATTTGCCAACAGCCCAACAATACATTTTTACGGTCTACAAACGAAGTATTACTTACTGCCTTGTGCCTTCAAAGCTCCTGATTCTTGGTCAAATAGTTATTTCAAAATAAATAGGTAGAAAATTCGATTCACTTCCACACTTCGATGTTCAAGACAACTGTTGATGTCAAAGTTTGGTCAAATTTATGCAGCTCAGAGCAACGCAGAATTTTGTGGGATATCAAGAACATGAAAAATTACTTGAGTGTAAAATGCATCGTTTTATGAAACCGATCTGCTGCATTTCTCTCCAAAAACAGCTGTTGGGCATAAAAGTCGACGTAGTAGAATTTCGGTCGCAAAATACAACCCCGTTTTCTTTATGAAACCGCTAGGGCATAAAATCCGGCAAAAACGGGTAGGAAATTGCGCCGGTTGTATTTTACTACCTTTTATGAAATCGGCCGCAGGTGGTGAATCAGGACCACGCATATCAATCACAAGACGTGATGGGACAGACATGATAACAAGCACGATACGAAAAATACAGCACGCCAGTTTAGCGGGCCCGAATACATACATACAACTAATCTCTTTGTCAAGACATGCTTACTTGGCCATCACAAAAATCAGAGGGGAGATGCTCGACCTTCGAGGCATCAGTTACTATCGACCATATCAGATAGGACGCATCACGTCATTTTGAAGCACCTGGGTTCTGAGCGCACAAGATACACACTGATACAGGCTGCAAAAGTACAGAGCTGTAATGAATGAGTCAAAACGGAACTGTCACATTCCGTCAGCATTTTACTTTGTGATGTGTCTCCCAAAGTCTGCGGGTCGGTTGTGAGGCTGGCTAGATACAATGAAAACGACATTTTCTTGAAATTGACCGATTGCCAGGCCCCGGAAATGATCGGTGACGTTGAGCCCAAGCGTAGGTTTAAATCCGAATTGTCAGCTGTTGTGTGCAGTGTGAATACCCAGTACTCATCCGAATCGACACAACCACACCCACTGTAGCCAGTAGTCAGTAGCCACAAAGGCTGAGCCCCGCGCACTCACTGGTTTTGCTGGCCTTCTCCGCCGCCTCGCTGGCCTCAACCCCCTCCTCCAGGAGCTCGGAGAAGTCATCTGCTGAGGCGAACAGGTCGGAGACGTCTCCCTGTGCCCGTGCAAGGGGGTGAGGTCAGACGGGGGGCAGGAGGGGGGAGGGGGTGGAAGAGGAGAGGCTGACCTAGCGCGGTACGACTCTACAAATCCAATTGTGTTTAACGAAGCAAGGCAACGGCGTAGAGCGCAGATGGAGCGAAAGTGGACCGATCATCTCTATTGAATGGCAGGAGACTCGTTATAGCCATTTACCGAATATCATATGCATTCATAGCGTGGTACGAAAATAGTAACTATTATAATACAGATAATTGAAGCTCGCTGTCTCACATATCGCTCACCTTTCCTCCTTTCCGCTTCCCTGCCATTGACGACGATTTGAACTTCTTGGCCGGGACGGCAAATTCTGAAAATACCAAAAACATCGTTAGCGAAGCAGTCTTCGCTCGCTAGTTGCTGTGCATTGGCTAACAATAACAAACAAACGGCTGAGTAAACGTTGTTTGATCTCTTTGAGCAGTTGTTCTCACCAGATGAGAACTCACCTTCGTCATCGTCCTCGTCCTCCCCGAGACTGTCCTCCTCCATCTCATCGTCATCATCGTCCTCTCCGAGGTCCAGCTCGTCATCGTCATCAGAGCCCGAAGCGAGCTGGTCTCCGTCGCCTTCCTCGTCTGTGGGCGGTGGTGGTCAGGAGGGGTGAGACACGATGCGTCGCGACAACTCAACAGGTGGACGGACCGGTCATACAGCCCGGCGACATTAAAGCTGTAAAGAGCATTGGATTTCGACACCCTCGGCGCTCTACTCATAAACAATCAATGAGCAGCGTGGCTATATGCAAAACTTCTGGCACTGCTAGATGATAAAAATGGTCCCCGGAATTGAAAAAACATGAAAAACAGACACATCTATACCAGAATCTTCACGGAGCATCCCCATAGTTGTGGCAACCGTCACCAGGGGCGTTGGGGTCGCGAACGGCTGTGACCGCTCGCGGGTCATCAGTCTGGCCGCGTACTGGGAAGTGGGAAGTCTTGATGGCGGCTAGCTGGCTAGATGTATCCGCGGTGGTGACGTGTCTGGCGGTGTTCCCGGTCTCATGCTATGCTATGTTTCTGTTTGTTTGGAAAACAATACATTGTCAGCCCAGGTGACGGTGCCTGCAATGCCGTTTTTTAACAGACCATCAATGCACAAAAGGCGGCTGCTCCGGTAACCTCAGCTTGATTACTGTGTCCGTCCACACTCAACACCCTCACGCCGTATCACATCCCAAACATCGTGCCCGTACACGTACCCTCCGAGCCGGGCTCGGCGCCTCCGTCGGCCATCTCGGCCAGAAAGTCGACGCCATCGGCCTTCTTTCCGAAGAATCCGTCCAGGAACGAGTCGAACGCCTCGTCGGTCACGTCACCGGACTCGTCGGTGATTCGCGGCGCCGGGTCGGCCGTTCCCAGCTTCTCGGCTCGCCATGAGAAGTACCTGGAACATAGGGGTGGGGGGAAAGGGAAAAGGCATGGTGAGCACCACGACAGGAGAGTGGAGAGTGTGATGGAGAGTGTTAAAATTTAGAGGAGTCACTCCCAACATTTACAAAAACGCATTAATCTCTTTTGTCAGTGAAAATGCGTGTTACAAAGACTTTAACGTAGTGGCTAAATGTGACAAGCATAGCATAAAATCAGCCGACCACGGCATTTTCTTAGGAGAGGGGCGCACTATTGAGGAAAATCGTGATTAATTACCACGCCCAGCGCAACTCAGATCCTTAGCTCTCATTACATCAACATACTCTCAACATTCATATCGATTGATATTGACTCACTTGTGGAAGAATCGCTCGTCGTGCGGCACCTGGCTGGTCGGAAGGCGCGCGTATCCGGCGGCGTTCACCGGCAGGCGGCGGGCCTCCTCCGCGCCCGAGCGGGCCGAGGCCTTCGGGTTCTTGTAGCAGAACCTGGCAGGGAAGAGGACATATGGTCAGACGGTCAGTCAACTTCGGAGTTTAGCCTCCGGTGATATGTGACATTCAGTGACATCGCCTGACACACATTTTTTTTTTAAACAAGTATAAATAAATTTAGCAAGAATGATGATAGATGAGAATATGCGAGAAGCAAGACATTCATATCGCACTTGATTGAGTTGTCTTTCAAAATCAGCTGGCCACCAGTGAGGTAGCGCTCTGCATACTCTGCTATCAGAGTCAGCAGAGCGTCACAACGGAGACCAGGCCAGTCGCGCTCACCTGTTGAGGAAGTGCATCAGCTGAAAGTCGTGCAGCGGATTCCCGGTATAGGTCGGTTTCTGCCCGGTCAGCAGTTGTCCAGCGAACAGCGCCAGGGTCGGGTGTAGGTGGCGCGCCAGCGGGGCCAGCTCGTGGAGAGCAGCTCGCTCCGCGCGGCACCAGCGCGGTTCCCTGTACAGCGGATCATACCGTCTCCTCTCCCGACCGGCGGCGGTGGCTCCGCCAGTCGCCACGAACTGCCAGCCGGCCGGCGGCGGCGGAACGGCCGCCGGGCCGTCCTCGTCTCCCCCTCTCTCCTCATCAGACAGAGGCACATCCCTGGGCGCCTCCTCGTCATCCTCTGCCTCTCCGTCCGGCCGGTCCGACCACGACTCGGCCGGCGGCGCGGGCAGACCGGACAGTCGCGCCAGCTCGGGTCGGCGCTTCAGCAACTCCGACACGAGCAGCAGCACACTGCAGGCCAGCGCCGCCGTCTGGTGCAGGCACGCCTGCAGGAGACGCTTGATGAAGGCACGGGCGCGCGGCTCACACGGATCCAGACGGATGGAGCGGTACACGAGGTTCAGGAAGTCAGCCACCTTCTGGGAGGTGGCCAGACCCGGGTGGACCAGCTTCTTGTACAGCGTGCTGTAGTACCTGTGGACGGACGAAGCAAAACATATCGGTCATTGCTCACGGACGGTACACAGGGAGCAGCTGCATCGTATCTTGTGAAGTCACAAAACGACAAAAATCAAAGAGTGCTGTGAAACATGCTGTGCAAGACGTACGCAATAAAATAGGAAACAGCGAGTCAAAACAACATCAGCTTTCGCCTCAAAGTTCTCATGGTCCTTTCGACTTCCGCGTCAGTTTCATATCTCCCAGTATCGACCGTCATTGAGCGCAGTTTCCCTCAGCCTCCCCTCTTGCTTCTCAAAGTCTCGCCTGCTAACTCACCCACTAGTCTCCCCTCCTACTTCACCTACTCTCACCTCCGACTTCACCAATCTCACCTTGTCTCCCCCTATCTCACGTCTCTTTCTAGTTTCTCACCTATCAGTCGGCTCCGTCTGTCCGCCTGCCGTGGTCAGTCGGAACATGAGCAGCAGCGCCTGCGTGGCCACTCCAAAGTTGGCCAGCTGGGCGATGTGGTGTAGCGGGTGGACATACTGCTGCAGCTGCTCCCCCACCAGACGGGCGCGGCCCACACAGCCCGACAGGCCCGTGAGCAGGGCGCGCATCAGACGCGCGTCCAGCTCCGCCTAAAACAGACGACAGGAGAGTAGAGAGGTGGTGATATGATGGAAAATGGGTGTAGAACAATTTATGCATGCACGCACGTCGAATACACGCTACTTCACTGACTCAGCTGTTACAGCCAAAGCATACACAGTACACACTGCACACGTCATTTTAACGATTAAAAAAGTCAGCAAATTGTCAAATGACGGTGCCTGTGGCGATGACAAAGCGAGTGTGCTGCAGCCTGCAGCTGTTCATGTTCGTATTTTTGTACATACAAACACGCTACCAATATAAATTCATGAACACAAACACCAATCTATCTCCTTCCATAGAGTTGCGTCAATGATCAACTTCGCATATGCATATAAAAGCACAAAACCAAGAAAAAAGTAGAGTTTCGTAAAGACTCGCGGCTATGAACCTTCCTATCCAGCTTGAGCTGGCCGCGCAGCTCAGTCTCAGTAATTCTCACCTGTTTAACGCAGGCACGGAAGAATCCCACGTAGATTTTGACGATGCGCTGCGCCAACGCTTCGTCGCCCTCGTCGGAGAACTGCACTTGTGAGAGAAAGGTGACTCCGTAGAACTGGACACGCTTGCCGACGTTCTGCCTGAGAAGATCAGAAATACGAGGTCAGCGGGGTAGGACATACGACATTCTGGAGTTGAGAGGAAACACTATCCGGATGCTGCAATCTGCATGTTTATGAACATAAGGCAACTATGTAGCACGTTGAACTGTGTCACTCGCTCCACCAGATTCAGCATATTTTACCAGAGTCCTCCACCAGATCCACCAGATTCCACCAGATTGTATATTTCATAATTTGAAGTTAAACTAGCAAAATACTTCGCTCTAATGGACCCGCTCCTACCCCAGAAGCAGCAAATAAAACGCTGCTAGTAAATATTTCAATCCCAATGCTTTTACACTACGTTAACAGATACTCTGTGGTCTTTTATCTATTGCATTACACCTCTCTCCATTCCAATGTGGCCGCACCTGAAGAGCAGCCGCTCCACCTCTTTGACGACCACCGTGCGCATGGCCGGGTGAGCGCGGAGCAGGGCGCCCAGCCGGCGAACCGCCAGACACGCCACCGACTTCTTCTCGTCGCCGAGCTTGTTCACAAGCACCTCCAGCAGTCTCTAAGGGCACACGGGATAGAACAGGATCACTTATAGTGTGGTCCTACAGCTACGTTACCGAGCTTGTTCACAAGCACCTCCAACAATCTCTGAAAGTACACGGGATAGAACAGGATCACTCAGAGCGTAACCTTACAGCTATGTCACTGAGAAGTATCGATAAGCACCTCCAGCAGCCTCTGAAAGTACGGGAGATAGATAATGAACCAGTCCGAAACCAACAAGGACAAATCTATCGCCGACTAGCAGGCCGAGACTGGTGCTGCCACCTTCTGCACGAGATTTCCTAAGCACCGTGCCCTACAGACAAGATGAATCCCAAACTATATCTGCACAAAAGTGATAACTAACGCCATATCCAACATACACTGCTCATCTGTAGCAATGAATCCACAAACAAGTCCTGAATAAAATCCATTCTGAACTGGCATCACACTCCTCCCGTCCTGCCCCCCTCCCCTCTCCCATCCTCGACCGAACGTCCTCCGCCCAGACCTGCTTTATATCTAGCTGTTAGGCAGCTTAGAGACTGGTATCATAGACCACAACATACAGTAAAGCAAGGTCTATAGCAGGATATGGGTGTCCGTCAAAATTCGTGGAGATATGCTGTCCCACGATTTCAATAATGCCTCACGTCAATAAATGAGCTTATTTCAGCGTAACACGGGTCCGTACGCGAGATGTGGACATTTGATTGAAGAAAAAAAATCATTGAAAAGGCAACAGCAAAGTGGCAAAAAAAAATTTGGACATCTTTCCAAAACCGTGCTTTTGTGTGCCTATGTATTTTAGCTTGTCCCACAACCTGCGAAAAAAAATCTACAGAGCTGCTGTGTAGTTATTTTTAGAGATAATTGAGCGCGAGGGAGCGTTGTGAATAGCAAAAACATTGAAATTTCTCTTCATGGGTCTTATTTTTTGGTTATACAATTTAGCAAAACTGCACAACGCAAAAACGTCTGTCCCACGGTTTTTGGCAAACTTTTTTCTGGGTCACGTTTGTTTCTGGGTCACGGTACTTAGCTCCTCATTCAAAGCATTACGGACCGGGTAAGCAGGGTCTGCAGACTTGCATATGGTCCTATCCCGAGAAGGCGCAGAGAGCGGGGGCGGAAACTGAAAACTGTCAGTTGGGCTGGGCGAACCCAGGGGAAATCATCTCCTGCGTGCCATAAGATTTCTTTATTCTGGGTCACACGCCCTTGTGGCTTGTGGCTGGTAAGTGTCGAAAAGAATCACAATGTCGTGTTGCTGCGTGCTCAGGTACTCCAGATAAGATGTACTTGGAGATTAGTATTCGATAACAAACTTGCCATATTCGGAAAACTGTAAAAACCATTCCCCTGGGTCACGCATTTTTTTCTTCTGGGTCACGAATTTTAGCGTGACCCAGGAAAAAAAATCGTGACCCAGAAGAGAAATTCTGCCCACCTACATCATCAAGACATGCAAGTCTTTCCGCCTACGTGTGGAGAAGGTCATTGCCGATAAGGGGGTTATATCGCGCATGAGGTGAGTGAACGTATCTGGTTTGATAATGCGTGACCCAGAAGAAAATTTTATTTTTTTTTCTGGGTCACGGACCATTTTACGCGCATGCGCAATGGCATTTTTGAATAATTTCAACTGTGAACAGCCTAGGGTGCATGGTTTATGAAAAGGTAATGATTTCTAGGAAATCAGTTGTGGGACAAATATCGACCCAAATCTTCACGAATTTTGACGGGTACCCATATATCCCTTCCCTCCAGTCTACCACTCGGCGGCCATGACTGACCTGTTCCAGCTCCGGATGGGCGACCAGCAGCTGTGAGAGCGTGTTCACACCGTGTTTGCGGGTCTTCTCCAGAGTATCGTGCGACATCTCTCGGACCCGGCCGACAAAGTCGGCGTATACAGACTTCAGGCGCTCCTCAAACAGCCTGTGGAGAGTGGGGGAACAAGGGTTAGATGAGGTGGAACGGCAGCAGCCATATACACAGATACTACAGTGACATCAGCCTTTTCCAGTCCCGAGCAACGGGACCTCGCCTCGAATGCAAACGATGAGCACACGGTGAGCAGCGCACGACAAACCAACTAATTGAAGTAACAACTAGCCAACATAATGTGAGCTTCAGTCACGCTACAGGAACCTAAAACACGCATATAATCATCGGTGCGAATCATGGTCAACATTATTGGACGTCGATTTAGTTGCGCCTCATGGCCCAAGCTCCAGAACCGGTACAGCACGGACGAAACTGAAACTATATAGTGCTGCCACCTACCAACGTCCGTCCTAAATTCATCACAGCAGGGCCTCTGCGATTCTGGCGTTAGTGCGTTAACCACAGGACGAACTATACGCAATCTTCCATATTATCAGCTGATAAGAAGAGTTAGACATTTTGTTTTTCTCACAGACAGTGACAATACAATAACGACGTAAATAAGACCAGACGTTTCGGACAACAGTCAGTGGAAAACAAGATATAGTCTTTACATTGATAAAACATAGGTCTATATTTTATCGATGTAAAGCCTATATCTTATTTTCCACTGACGAAGGCACTTTGTTGTCCAAAACGTCTGGTCTAATTTACGTCGTTATTGTATTGTCACTGTCTGTGAGAAAAACAAACGATACCAACAACGATAAAGTTCACTGAAGATCGCCAAGGACTCACCACAGCATCAGCTGGCGTCTCCTGATTGCCGGGTCACCCCCAGATATACGCTGCAGCGCCCCCAGAGGCTGCTGCTTAAACAGCTTCAGTTTCCGGCCCGGCGGCAGCAGATGGGCGCCGAATGAGTTGGCCAGCATTTCTGTAAGAGATAATGTGCTCATCAATCTCGCTATGCATGCTGAACAATTTTCCACATATAACAACTCATGGCAAGTGAGCCAGTGAACAAAACCCACCTAAAAGCATTAAATACGAGTTGGATTGGAGTGATACGCTATTTTCGGAGAATGTACATGAAAGCAGGAACTAAAAACGAATACGAATATTCAGTGAACTGACTACACACTACACAGCGCTACGCATAATCACCCCTGAGCTAAGCCGCACTACCACACGTCCAGGAACTCCACAATAACCCCCTGATCAAGCAGCTCGGTACTCACGCATGGCCTGCATGGCGTGTCCCTTCCCCTTGGCCGCCACCATTCGGACGGTGTCCTCAATGAGGTGTAGCGCCACCAGCGGCCGACTGGCCAGCAGCGCCTGTCGCGCCGCCAGCTTATCCGACACGGTACCCGAGGTGAGAACCGTCTGTGTCCAGCCCGACTGACCGCCGCCACCGTCCGCCTTGAACGCCTTCACGGCCTGTGCCAGCGCCGCGGACGCCTCCTGGAGGAGCGCTCCGGCGGCCGGGGGAGGAACCGGCGCAGCGTCCGCGTCTTCAGTCACAGAGTTCTGGTACCACTTGGTTACACCGCTGGAGGCACCGGCCGAGGCGGCGGGTACCGGCGGGGGGCTGCCGGTGTCGTCAGCCGTCGAACTGGAGATCTGGTCCACCTGTACGGCCGCGTCTCCGTCCGTCTGCTGAGAGCGGCGGCCGGCCTTCCGCTTACGAGCCTTCCGAGATTCCTTTGGGGTCGATGGAGAGCTCTCGGATCCGTCTGCGGGTCGGTCGCTGGACTGTTTTGTGGCTCCAGTGGTAGCACAGCGTCCCTTGCCCTTTCCTCCATCAGGGGTGTGTTGGCCTTTTCCCTTATCTCCATCTGGGGTGTGATGACCCTTCCCCTTCTTTGTATCAGGGGTGTGGCGAGCTTGTTTCTTATCGCTACCGGTCGGTGCACCATCGGCCGGCTTGGACTTCCGCTCCTTCTGCTTCACTTGTTTGCGTTTCTGAGCTGATTTGACTGGTTTATCACTGGGTGAATCATCGTCAGAGGCTATGTGGATATTGCTGAACTTCTCAAAGCCAAGCTGACTTACAAAGTCCTTGACCTGAAAAAGAGACAGACATGATTTCAAGGCAAATAGAAAACAGACGAAGCAGCTAAATGGTACAATTAATCAATGTTCCAAGTTCCAACTGAAATAAGGTCTTTGCCATTATCTAGTATTGGAAGGAGACATAAAACAGAATGATAAAAAAAATGTTCTGCAAGTTGTCAACTGACTAGACACATTGAAATTCAGTTTTGTTCCCGGAGTCTTGTGGCAGAAAATCGTGCTGTTGTGACTTTGTTTCTGCAAACCCCAGTCTCTGAATTCCTAATTAGAATAGCCTGGTGGTGAACTATCCACTCTATCACCATTTCCCTTTCCCCTCACACACACACCCAATACAAACTACCAGGTCAGACATGTAAAGAATGTAAAGAATAGGTACCTATAAAATAAAAAGCCAATGTCGATGAGGCAAAACAGTCACACAAAAGCTGGAGTGCAGATTTATGCAATAACAAATACACAAATTGATAACTTGCCTCTCCTTGCAGATCGTCCATTTCTATCTATTTTTTCTTTTTTCTTTTGCACAGACTTCAACTTTTCCTGCAAAAAGGCAGGCATTCAGTAAAATAGGGTTAAATATAAAAATGAATAGGATGGCAAAAAAATATTTCCTTCTCTGGTTAGGTACTTGCCACTACTCACCAAAGTTAACTATGAAGAAAAGTGAGATAATTCAATTAAAAAAGACTGCACAATAGGATGAATTACATGGCATTGTTATATGTTCCAAGGTAAGCGGTACGGTAATAAAATGCTTTGACCTTGCCTGTATGCTTATTGCTTTCAATTCCATAAATGATCTTGTGCAACACCACTTGGCACTGACTTTTCTTTTAAATGACATTCAGAACCAGCTGAATTGTCAAGGCATTTTTGGACGACGGTGAAAACAGGGCGCCTGGGGCGATTTGATCAAGGTTCGTGAAATTTACACGTGACGTTTGGAATGTAGAAGGCCCACGGAGGGGGAGCAGTTCCAAATATCACGTGACTAATATGCCCTGCGGCGCCCTGTTTTCACCGGCGTCCGCATTTTTCAATGCTTCTCCAAAGTCACCCTACACATAGCTGTCTTTTCAGTTTTCCCCCTGTCAGTGGTCAAATGCTTTGAATTTTATTAGATCATCACTGTGTGAAAAGGGACTTTATTGTCCATCCACACAAATACACAGGAACTTTTTTGGTGAGGTGACAACTCCCTCACATCACAAACTGGACTCTGGAGCTTGGGCTTTCACAGTTCATCTTGCCATTTTATGAGTAAACAAACCATTAGCAACATCCATTCCACTATCAATCTAATTTTTGGTCTATTACTTCTCTGATCTCTCACCCACAGCTCAAATACAGTCTCCCTCTCCATTTTGCTATGTCTATTGCAAGAACCTACTTCACTTCTGGTGGTGGGGCTAAAATGGTTAAATAGGTTTGGGACCCCTCAACAGATGAAACAATTTCTTTTTGAAAAAAATTGATTGTGCAAGAAACATTAATCAGAATTCAGAATTGGGAGCAGCAATGCTAAATTTCAACTATTCATTTCCATTCTTACAGGACCTGGTAGCCTTGGTAGGAAGGTACACCAAGAAAAGCATTAAACTTCTTAAATGACCAATTGGGGGGATTGGTTGGAACATAGACCAGTGATATTGGTATATTGCATGCTCATTTTATTCCTTACCAAGGTACGTGCAGGCCCATGTCACTCCACTTTAGATGACATCATAAGGGGGCTTCATGACAATAATGGCGTGGTGCGTCACAATTGCTTCAAAGCTACTTGCCAACAGTTGCCATTTTTGAAAATATTATTTTGAAATAAAGTTACAAGTAATAAAAATATTGTAATAAAGTTGTTGATTAAATCGATACCACATCTAAAAACTTACTGAAAAATGATTTATTCATAGTAAAAATATAAGCTCGATGTGTGTTTACGTTGCTTTCCTGCAACTGCAGAGGATTTTTAAATCCTCTATATCTTCAAAACCGGCCATTTCTTAGCATATTGCTGCTCTTTTTTATCGCTAGAAAATTAGTTGGACTTTCCAATGACATCAACGGTTGAGCGATATGTGTAGAGTGTCACCAACAATCTTCAAATGAAGTTAGCCATTTTTACGTTGTAAAGGAATGGAGTACCCCTTGCAAGCATCAGGGATGACGTCACTCAGGATCTGTCTCTGATTGGTCGGCGGGGGAGTGACTGTACCTTCTATAGATGGCCTTGGGTACGTGAGCTGGATGTCAGTGCCAGGCGCCAGCGCAAGTCAGTCTGAGCCCACTTTCTACCAAAAAGCATAAAATTAGGGTGCATCATATAACTTTGATACTCTCACTAGTCATCCTGCAATGAATCAATTCAAATTGAATTGAAATTGGTTTCAGGATGTTCGTGCAATGCAAGCAAACAAACGTAAAAATCGCCCTGCCAGTTTTCTCCTGCAAAAGCTCTAAAAGGTATATTTGTACTTAGCCTTATACAGGGTGACACAAAAAAAAGCGGTCATCACCAAAATTCGAATAACTTCGGAAGTTTTATTCAGATCATCACCAAACTTCGGCCACTTTAGGTCACACCTATGTAGCAGACATCCACCAAGTTTCAAGTCTTCACTACGAATACTTTTAGTACAGTGTGTGTTTTACGGACGCTCCACAATGTGCTCCAGGTGAGCGCCCCGGCGCTGCAGGGCGTAGGCACACCTGCATCCGGCGGGCAAAGTTGTCGATAACCCGATAAGAATAACGTTTCAGGGGTAACACACCCCCTGAGCACTGTCTCCAGAGGCCATTGCACTCTGTAAAGTGCACAGCCATCGGGTTATCGACAACTTTGCCCGCCGGATGCAAGTGTGCCTACGCCCTGCAGCGCCGTGGCGCTCACCTGGAGCACATTGTGGAGCGTCAGTAAAACACACACTGTACTAAAAGTATTCGTAGTGAAGACTTGAAACTTGGTGGATGTATGCTACATAGGTGTGACCTGAAGTGGCCGAAGTTTGGTGATGATCTAAATAAAACTTCCGAAGTTATTTGAAATTTGGTGATGACCGTTTTTTTTGTGTCACCCTGTATATCACGATTGCCAAAAATTTGTATGCGTACAATTAGCCATGCAAACTAGGTAAATATCGTTAAAATTGACATAAAGCCAACGCGCGACAACACACAACACAATCCACGTGCACGCAACTGACATGAGACATCTCGGATCTATTCAATCTTTCATGCTTTTACATGCTAGCGAAAAGGTGATTGAAGATGAGAACAAGAAAACGTGCTCTTCAAGCCACTTTTTCCTAAATGCTGTTAAAAAGAACAGGATTCCACTGTGGACAAAGTGCAGTATATCGTAACAGCTGCGCCGTAAGCGTCCTATTCACAGCTACCAAATTTTCTTCCTAACTTGAAGTAATCTTGTATATTTTCCTTATTGTAATGATCACACCGTGGGGACATTTTCCATTTTAACTTTTGGGTAAGCTCGGGCCGTAAAATCGACTACAGAATGATGTTCCACTTTTCACAGGCAATTATTTGCCTGGAGTGGTAGGCTGTGCCGCATCACACGGACTGAGTTCACAAATTATAGCTTTGTCCCAATGCTCACAATCGACAAGCTTACCTAATTGCGTGATAAACGGCACAACTTAGCGCTCCGGTCAACTGATAGCTTCTGAGGAGTGGAACATCATTCTGTAGTCGACTGCGAGGTGTGCGAGGTGTTATAGTCGACTACTGTAGTCGACTCGTATACCTTTGTAAGTAGCCAAAAACGTCAACCATGACTACACAATGTAAGTAGCTCTTAGTGCTGCAACTTTTCGCGGTATATTGTAATGTGCACTGCTAGCGAATTTAGCGAAGCGACGAACAAAATGGCAGCTATAAGGAAACCGAAAGTAACTGGAACTCAAGGGCGGATCCAGCCGGCCGTCTTGGGGGGGGGGGGGGGGGCAACCGGTTGGGACTAGCCAAACCTAGGGTACCCCCAAATCCAGTTTTCTCACCGGTTTTAGGCCACTTATTTTCAGGCGCGCACACAGGATTTTTGAATGGGGGGGTACGACCTTCGAACTGGGCCCCCCATACCGAAGGGCCCCCCCAAAAAAAATACGGCCCACGGGGCTATATTTCGGTTGGTTTGAAGCTTGAGCAATTGGTTTGTCAATGCATGGTAAAACAAGTATTTCGGTACCAGCATAATTTTCAAAACATACATATTTTTACGCTAGGCTGTTTTTTTCTCAAATGCGACTCAGAGCCGGTACATATACCTAATCATCTAATTTATTACGTAAAACATTTCATTAATAAACATTTTTGCAGGTCCCTCAGAAATCAGCCCCGGGCAGCGACTGACTGCCGGCCGGCCGACCGGCCCCGGGTGGGTAGAAGCAGGGGCCGGTCACTGTTTGGCCCGGATGTGTAGGAGCGGGAGCAGCACTCCTTTTTCACGTATATTCGCATATTTTTTAGGCACATCGACATGAAATGTCATTATATCTGATACGATGCGGGATCACAGACTAGAGATCCAGCTTATAACTTATATTCAATGCTTAACCAATGAATCAAATCAACAGGACTATGTACGATGCATGTCGGACACGTACCCAGAATTTTGCCCAAGAGGGGGTCACCTGCTGGTCACCTGACCCCGGGCCCGCGAGTCACCCGGGCGCCCGGGGTCAGCTCAGGCAAGGATAGGACGTACCCAGGACCTTTCGATGGGAGGAGGGAGGCACGGTGGGTCCAGTCTCACTGGCAGACGGGTCTCTTTAAAACGGTCTTTGCATGAGAAAATGTGGAAAATTGGCAAGCAAAAGTATCATTTATGCCCGAGGAGTGTGCCTAATGTACACTAATGCCTAATTTACATGGTATTTTACGAGCGAGCGAAGCGAGCGAGCTCCTCAGAGTCACCGGTGTGTGGCGCGTTCAGAGGTGCCAGTGAAAGGCCGTCAGATGCGCTGGTGTTGGGTCCTCACAGGCGCCGTTGCGGGGTCTTAGGGCTTAGAGACACTGGTGGGGCCATCATTGGCATGTGTGTGGCCCTGCAAAATGGCCTGCAAGTGGAAAGTGGCCCGTCATAGGCTGGCAAGGACACTCGGAGGCTGGTAAGAGGCCCTCAGAGTCACTGGTACGTGGCCCTCAGAGGCGTCGGTGTGGGGACTCTCAGAGCCGCCGATGTAGGCCCTTAAGATGCGCTGGTGGGGGTCCCTTGGAGGTGGGGCGAGGAGCCTCGCAGTTGCCGTTGTGGGCGCCTTTAGAAACACTGGTGTGGGCCGTGTGTCTATCACAGACGGATGTGGAGCCATAGCAGCCAATCCCTCGTTGGCCGTTACTACTTAGGACCCTGAGCGGCCGGCGAGGTCTCTCAGAAACCGGCATTGGGCCTTTATGAAGATAATTGTGGCTACATAGGAGCCAATAACGTCCCCCCACAAGCCCTGTGGTGTCCTTCCGAGTTGAAGTGCGGCCAGCGCGAACCCTCTGCTACCAACTGGCGCCGCAGGGCCCCTCGGTTTCGAAGGAACCCTAAACCCGAGAACGGGCACCTACCCCCTCGCTCCCTTGCTATGTCACTGAATCCAAGTGATGGGACCCTTTAGGTAATCAGGGGCGTTTCAGATGACCAGGGGTTTTCAATTGATCAGGGGCCCACCAGGTGACCATGGGCCCCTCTGGTAACCAGGCGCCCCTTAAGTAACCAGGGACCCCATCAATAACCAGGGCCCCTCAGTCAACGGGGGCCACTCAGGTAAGTGTAGGAGTCCCGCAGATAACCAGGGCTGGCAAGGTTTCTCAGGTCCGTTTTTTGACAAGGCTCTTATTGACTCAGGTGCGAGCCCTTTGCCATCAGCAGAGGGCCCTTTCAAGCCTTTTGAGGGCCGTTTAATGTCTCTTGAGTTCCCATTGAGGCCTTCTAAGGGCCCTTTGAGCAGTCGAGGGGCCTTTGAGGCCTTTTGAGGGTCTCTTGACGTCAGCTGAGGACCGTTGGACGCCAGCTGAGGATCGTTTTTGGGCCTTCTGATGGCCATTAGACGACAATGGATGACCCCCTGACACCAACTGGGGCCCTCTGACACCAGCTAAGGGCACTTAAGTTTGACGCTAGCTCAGGGCCCTCTGACATTAGCTGGGGGTGCCTCTGACGCTAGCTCAAGGCCCTTTGACGCTCTTTAAGGCCTTCTGAGGGCCCCTTGAGGTCTTCTAAGGGCCCCTTGAGGCTTTTTGAGGGCCTCTTGACGCCAACTGAGGACCGTTTGAGGCCTTCTGATGGCCATTTGGCGCCAGCTGGGGGCCATCTGGCACCAGCTGGGGGCCCTCTGTCACCAACTAAGGACCCTTTAGAGCCTTCGGAGAGCCATTTGACGCAAGGGCATGGCCCTCTGACGCCAGCTCAGGGACCTTTGACACCCTTTAAGGCCTTCTGACGTCCGTATGACGTTAGCTGAGGGCCCTTTGAGGCTATCTGAGGGCCCTTTAAGGCCATCTGAGAGTCCTTTGAGGTCATCTGAGGGCTCCTTAAGGCCATCTGAGGGCCCTTTGACACCATCTAAGGGCCCTTTGACACCAGATGAGGGCCCTATGACGCTGAGGGCCCTTCGAGGCCATCTGAGGGCCTTTTGAGACCATCTGAAGGCCCTTTAAGGCCATTTGAGGGCCCGTTGTACACGGTCTTCGGTGGTCTAAGGATTAGTTAGAGGCCCATTTGAGGCGGCCTTCGGCCGCCTCGAATGGGCCCCTTCCTTCGAGTTGGGCCCCCCAACTCGAATGGGGGGCACGGGCCCGTGTGCCCCCCCCTTGTGTGCGCCCTTGCTTATTTTTCACCCTTCGCCTTTTCATCGAAAAAAACGAAACGAAAACATTTGCAAAAAGTGAGATATTTTGTCTCAGCTGAGTCAAGGAACTACCTTTTTGGTAACGTAGAATAAAGGCTTGAATCTTCCACATGAGCTGTCAAGCCAGGTAAAGAGGGGGATTTTTTTTCTTAAATGTTTTCTTCCCTTTAGTTTTCCTTTGTGACCCACAACCGCTAATTCAGGGAGGGCAAGCTGCCCCGACGGTTCCTAGCGCTATGAAAAGTTGTGGGGCAGCGCCCCCACGGCCCCAGAGTTGTGGGGGCAGGCTGCCCCACTGACCCCCAGCTCCCGCTCCCATGACCACAAAGTTCAGGCCCATGGCCCGGCGTCGAGCTCAAATTCAGACTCGGCAATGTTGATGGTGTGTCCGAGTTCAGACAAGCTGAGCTTATGCTGGATTCAGCTAGACGATTGAAGAAGTATCCTGTTGGGCTAAATGCCGGACAATCTCAGTCTCTAATTTTGCATTTAATGCTTAATTATCCTACTATGTTGAGTGAAAACTACCCATGTGTCATTAAGTATAACTTCAAATAGTGGGTTTAGTTAGTGACATATGGTGCAGCATTAGGGGGTTTTAG